TTTACATAGGCAAGCAGATGAGGCCGGAATATGAACACAATCCGCTTAATGGTTCAGTGTTTTCCTTCTAATGGTTTTCTATGGGAAACCATTTAACGTGAAACTTTGCACATTGCGTTTATATTCTGGCTTCATCTGCTTGCCTGTACAAAATATACATAATCAATAAGGTGTTTACTGAATTTCGCTTTTTAATATCTGCGTTTAACTACATTACTAAATGCAAACTGCGTAAAAATAACTGGCGGTCAGTGGAGCAAAGCTTCGTTTTGCCCTCCAGGTGGGTGTTCTTATAAGCGTGTGACGTAACGTGAAAACTATCAACAGCTGCTGCAAATTCAGCTTTGCCATCACAAAAATACATTTACATTTTAAAATATTAAAATAAAAAACAGAAAAACTTTTAAATTGTTACAACATTTCATAATATGCATTTTTTACTGTATTTTTAAATAAATAAGCCTTGGTGAGCATAAGAGACTTTCAAAAGCATTTAAATATTTTACAGACTCCAAACTTTTGAACTTGAACAGCAGTGTGTGTGTGTGTGTGTGTGTGTGTGTGTGTGGTTATTTTCACTGAAAGAACACACCAGTTTAAAATACAATGACATGCTAATATTTTTTTTGTATAAAGCCTTTTAGAAAGTCATATTAAATCCACAAATTAAAAAATAAAATTGACAGGCAAAACAGGTTATAGCAATACATCAGTAGCTACATTAGCAGAGGTTTGGTAAAAATTGAAACTAGGCTGAAAGTTTAAAAAAAGACCAGTTAATAGGTTCATTACCATTGTTACCTGACCTACATACTCCACAACTTACTATAACATGTAGGAGGCTGTCAAAGTCACACATGAATACATGCTCAGAACACCATGACAAGAGCATGTTCAGCTTGACGTTGCATCATACCACACTGTATGTACCCAGAAATGCACAAACATCTTGAATGTTATCTAATTCAGTACAATTAGTAGGGATCAAAGTTGACATATTACAGTCCTGAACTGACATTTGATGTTGGTATGATCTAAAAACACTGCAAACAAGGAATTATGGGCAGGAAGTTTTGAATTGAGACATGAACTTCGGGTCTGTAAGTCATTCTGTTTTGTCTGTCATTCTGAACATGCCAGACTAGAGACGCAACCAAGCACAGAATACAAACTGATCACACAAGCCTGCTGTTCTATGAGTTTATTACACTCCTGCTTTATCTGCCTCTTTCTTTTGGCCTCTTACTGTGAGGCTACAGTTGATGTGGTTGCTATGGTGACAAAGCCATACTAAAGCATCCGTGTGGTGCAGACGGCCCTCTTCAGCACACACAGAACATCCCACTCTCAAATTCACAATATATATGCACGAATAAATTATTTATATGATTTTTTTTAAAACAGTTACATGTTATGTTAATGTTATCTTATTAAATGAAAAAAAATGGAATAACAACATATAAGTTTTCTATAGCGTGGGAATTCAGTCTGACTTTTGAACAGAAGTTGATAGTTTAATGAGTACAGCAAACACCTTTTCAGCTTTTCACATACCTCACACACCCACTTTTGCATTGTGGATCTGATTCATGCACACCCACCCACACGCACACTATTGCAATAGAAATACATGTGTCAAGTTATTTCTCAGAATGACTTATTCCCTTTTATCCACATGTCTGTAACTGTCACAGAGGCACATTCTCTTGTTCCTCAGTACAATGAGTCATTGTGTTGGTTCACACACCCTACACTGTGCAAAAACTCACACCGTCATGCTCACACTCATCCACGTGGGGTCGCACACTGATATAGCGTCACAACAATAGTGGACAAACATATATCATCAAACAACACATCCGCTGACACACAAATCACAGCGTCCATGTGACTAGGTGACGACACGCACACAGGAACACAAATAGAAACTGACCTGCGCAGCACATGAGTGCGTGCAGATGAGCATTCAGGCTCCGTTCGGTGCAATATTCAGGCCACATTCTGGTGGTGACTTATTCCTTTTGGCTTCCAGAACGATCTACCTTCCCCTTCATCTTCCTGTCATGTCTCTGAGTGTGGCGTTTCACACCTTTAGTCCAAACACACTCCAATCTCTCATTCGGAGTTGAAAATCAAATCCACACTCGAAGAAAAAAAGGCATAGATATTTTCACTTCCTCCTTTATATCCACAGCTCCCACATTCTACCTCCTCGTTCGCCGGTCTTCATATTTGCTGCCATATCAAAGCTCAGCTCAAACATGCAGCTTGGCTCACACGTGCATGTCAAACTCTACAAGAGCTCCTCCTTCACAACTAAATAAGGAGTGACGTTCCCCGCCTTCCTCAAACCACTGCCACTCTCACTCTCTCAGAGGAGAGATGTGTTGTTAATGCAGTAATGAATGCTGTCTTTTCCACCTCTTGCTTTCAAGCGCTCACAATCCGTGGTTGCTCAGTTTCCTGTGTTTGAATGAAGAACCTTTTGTGCAGCAATCCATCTTCAAGAGTCTCTTTGCAACAAAAAAATGAGCAAGTCTAGAAATGAGAGATTATCATGCTTCTTTGAACTGTTGTTGTGAACTTCATAACAGCATGGTGAGATGATCGAGCGTCCCCGCAGGTTGATGTCATCTGAACAGTTTAGTGACTGCCCTCTGTCGTCACGCGAACGCCCGTCCTGAAGTGCCCACCTTACCTTTAGACTGGAACCAAGTCACGACAACAATGCAAGTTCTAAGGTCCATATCATAAAAAGTCTTGTGACGCAAGCTGGTCCAATCGAGCAATAAACAAGTGAATGACAAGATGTTACTTGTTCATTTCCTCTGCAGAGCTCTGCAGATCTGAATTGAGGAGAAAATGAAAGTGAAAGTGAAAATGAGTGAGCATAGGGGGAAAAGGAGGGAGAAAATCCTGGGGACTTTTAGGGATGAAGGGAAAACAAATTGACAAGTCTAGGGCTGCATGATAACAGTTGAAGTAATAATCACCATTATTTTGATGAAAAATGATAATCACAATTATTAATTATTTTTCTTTTTAAATTTCATTAGAGTTATTGTACTTTCATGAAGCACAAATAAAGAAAATGTCAACTCAAGCGCAAGATTTATTTGATCTAATCTCAACATTATGAAAACTGGTAAGAAGCTTCTCTCAAAGCTAAAACAGTGAAATACCAAATATCATTTACAATAATTCCAAATTATGTTAGTGGTTTTCTATTAAAACTTTGACTTTTTATTGTAGCACAGTATTGTAAAAAAGACTTTGTATTGTAGCACAGATGTATCGTAAATGCATTTATTCAGCAACCCAAATGCAAACAATGTAGTCGAGATTCATGTTTGGATATAACGCAAATATCGTAGACGATTATGCTTGAACAATCGAAAGAAACATAAATCATGATCACAATTATACATGCAGCCCTACTAGTCATGTAATTCAATCTCCATTTGTCAAATTTTCCAGAAACGGGGTGATCACAAACATATGAGTCAGCAAAACAAGCAGTGAAGTAACGATCACGATGCTTGCATAAAAGCTGTGACCAAACAGAGCTGCAGCCAATCGGCAGGCAGAAGTGATCTGATATTTG